ATGGGCAGTGGCCATGGCTCAAACCGTGCTGGAGATAACCACTGGAATGTTGGAACGCTTTGGCTGTGCTTAATTCATTGACGCCCTCCCCACCCTGTCTTCCCTTTTCTTTCGTAAAATGTAGATAATTTTATATTTACATGAATATTTGCTTTGGTGTTCCTCATTCCCTCCAACTTTTTCATGTTTTCATCTGGATCATTTTTTTTTTCTGCCTGACCTCTTATTTTTGCTTTTATTACAGGCCTTATAGCGACACATTCCATCAACTTTTGCTCATTTCTAAATTTCTTGTAGTCATCTTTGTTTGTGAAAGATGATTCACCTCCTGGGCCTGTGTCTAAAATTCTGTTTCAGTTTGAATACACTTTTAAATGGGCAATGATTCGTTCATCCATTTTAGTGTATTTATTGTATTCTGCCTTCACTTTTTTTTGAAGTCAATTATCTATTAATATCTGTCTAATTGTCGATCCTGTGAATATAATGTTGTCCACTACCTCTACCTGGGTGCTACTGCTTTTTTTTTTATTTCAACTGAATTGTGATGTGATCACACAGAACATAGTAGGCCATTGAATCAGTCCATTCTCACACTGCTATGAAGAACTACCTGAGACTGGGTAATTTACGAAGAAAAGAGGTTTGATTGACTCAAACTTCTGCAGGCTGTACAGAAGCATGGCTGGGAGGCCTCAGGAAACATAATCATGGCTAAAGGTGAATGAGAAGCAAGTAGGTCTTACCACAATGGAGCAGAAAAAAGGGGTGGGGGTGCCACACACTTCTAGACAGAACATCAAGGGGGAACTCTTCCCCCATGATCCAATCACCTCTCACCAGGCGGCTCCTCTGACATGTGGAGATTACAATTAGATGAGATTTGTGGGGGGACACAGAGCCAAACCATATCAGCCATGTAAGGATTTCACTTTGCAAAAGTTCATAGTTCGTCTCAGAATAAAAGCCAAAGTTGAGCAGTGAATTGAGATTATTTGACATATGTTTCTAAAAGATTGCTTCTGACTTCTTAGTGGGAACAGCACAAGATGATGAGGGAGGATGAAAGCAGAGAAAAGATTAAGGATGCTATGGTAGGAATCCAGAGAGAAGATGGTGTTTCCAAATCAATGTGTTAATCATAAATATGGAGATAAATCAGACATATCAGATTTTATATTTATTTAAGTACCAGTGGGAATTCCTGAAAAATTAGCTATAGAGTATGTGAGAAAAAGATAAGACCAAGACTTCTGGCTTGAGGAACACGTAGGTGGGAAGAAGGTGTTGAGAGTGTTGCTAGGCAGAACAGGATCCTATACTCAAGCATTGATCCACTTTAAGGATGACATGTACCTCTGGGTCATCGCTTGGGATGTTGGGATGACAACATCCCAAGTTTGAGTGATTAAAAGTATTGCATCTAGGTCCAGATGACTGCATCAAGTTTCCTGTATCCTAACCTTGCATTCTGTGTATGGAATAAAATTATATGTGCCTGTAGGCTACTCATATTTCTTATTCATGTTTTGACTGTGTACTAAACCCAAATAAGCTAATACAGAAGGTAATTTTCCTTTTACTATTTGTGACTAATCCTATTGTGCTAATGTTATGTTACCTGTCTATGGCATCCTTGTACTACTGGACTTGTGCTGGGAAAAAAAATATTTCTTTACAGGGAATAGATATGACCTGAAGAATGATTTTATTTCTTGTGTAAGTCAAGAGGAGAATAAGATTTCTCTTGTTGGAAATAACTTCATTAATTCATGCTATTTTCTATGTTTGTTTACATGTGGTTACAACTTAGTGTTATTTTTTTAATTTCCCGCCTACCCCAACTATTCTCAGAAGAAATAATCAAGAGATGCTGACTACATAGGGAGCTTGTCTTTGTGTCAGAGGGATTTATGAGAGCAGAGATGGAATATAAGGTGAAGCAAGAGTGTAGGTTCTTGCTATACCCTTGTCTCCTGCACAGCTTCCAACTTTCTGTGACACAACTGACGAATGCTTGGAGATTGTTTCACAGATAAATAATATAAACAGAAAGATAGAGATACTTCCTAATCAGTAATCTCTGAATTACAAAAATGCGTTTGTGGAAGATGATGTATGAAAATACAATCATTTTCTAGGTTGTAATAACAAAGTACCAAAGACTGGTTTCAATACAGAAACTTATTTTCTCAACTCTAGGAGCTAGATGTTCAAGTTAAGGTGTGGCATGGTTGATTTCTTTTAAAGCCACTCTCCTTGGCTTGGACATTGTCTTCTCCTTATGTCTTTTCTTGTATGGACACCTGTTGTATTAGATTAGGTCCCATCTCAATAACTTCATTTTAACTTAATTAACCTCTTTGAAGACCTTATCTCCAAATGCAGTCATATTATTCTGAGATACAAGGTGTTAGGACTTCAATATATGAGTTTACAGGAGGGGGACACAATTCAGTTCATAACACCCTGCCTTTTGGCTCCCTAAAGTGTCATCCTTCTTACCTGCAAAATATAAGCATCCCCAAAGTGTTAACCCTATTCCAGGGTTAACTGTAAATCCAAAATCTCATCTTAAGGTAATATCTAAATCATTTATATGTGACACTCAGGTATGAATCCATCCTGAGGCAAAATTTACCTCCAGCTATAAACCTGTGAAACCAGACAAGCTACCTGCAACCAAAATATAATGGTAGAACAGGCACGGGGCAGACATTCCCATTCCAAAGTGGATAAATCAGAATAAAGGTGTCATGAGTCACAAATAAGTATAAAACCTAGCAGGGCAAAATTACACTTGATTTAAGGCTCAGAATAATCCTCTTTGACTCAATGGGCAGCATCCCCAACCCCTCAGTCCTGGATTAGAGGAACCCTGGCCTTCTGAAACCAATGGGCTGGCCCTTCCCTCTGAAACCAAGGAAGAGGCAACCTAACCTCCTGGGTCTGTATTTGGGCATGAGGTGGCAGTAGTAGTGCTGCCAACCTCTCAACTACCTCAGAGTATTTTTTCCCTTCTTTTCTTGAAGGATAATACATGTTTGCAGATAAATAGCTCTATTGGCCCATCCTCTAGAATCCCAGAAGTTCAACTGCCTTCTTTCTTGTTATCCTATCTCTGTTCATTTCTGCTGCTAATGATATTCTCAAACATGTTGGTCTCTGATACAATTCATGGAGTTCAAACTGTCAGATAAAAGGGACTCCCAAGAGTCTTTCCTGCATAGCCCCATCTCTATTCCTGGCTTCTGAGGTAGCTGATTGGATTAATAAACACATGCCTAATCCTTTTTTAAAAAAATTTAATTGGCACATACTGTACAAGTTTAGGGGGTACATGCAATATTTCCATACATGTATACAACCAGTAATGATCAAATCAGGGTAATCAATTTGAGATAATTTATCAACTCAAATATTTATCATTTCATTGTGTTGAACATTCAAAATCCACTCTTCTGGCTAGTTTGAAATCTAAAATTATTAACTATAGTCATTCTAGTATGCTTTAGAATACTAGAACTTACTCCTCCTACCTAAGTGCAGTTTTGTACCCATTAACCAACTCCTCCCTATACTCTCCTCCTGCTACCCTTCTCAGCCTCTAGTAACCACTATTCTAGTCTCCACTTCTATGAGGTCAACTTTTTTAGCTCCCATGTATGAGTGGAACCATGCAGCATTTGTCATTCTGTGCTGAATTATTTCATTTAATATAACTAATCCTTTTAGAAAATGGTTGTCCAGCCACACCCTTGATATTCTTTCCAAATTACACTTATTTATTGCACTATGGATATGCTGATAATTTTTTAAATCTTTAATTCCTGATTCCTTTTTGCTTAAATTCTTCTCCAACTTCTCTCTTTCCTCTCTCATCTTCCTTTAAGCAACAAGAACATACCAGGCCACAATTTCCGTTTCAGCATTTTGCTCAGAAATTTCCTCAGCTAAATATCCAAGTTCATTACTTAAAAGTTCTACTTTTCACAAAGCACTAGAACACAATTTGTCCAATTCTTTTTCATTTGATAACACAGATCATCTTTCTTCCATCTCTTCCTTCCTGAGACCTCACTAGAAGCATCTTTAATATTCATATTTCTACCGATAATTTCTTCAAAGAAATCTTAGCCTTTTTTAACATGCACCTCAAAATTTTTTCAGCTTCAACCAGGTTCCAAACAACTTTCACATTTTTAGATATTAGTTACAGTAACACCCTACTTCCTGGTGCCAAAAGTAGTTTTCTAGGGCTTCTGTAAGAGGTAATAAAAACTGGATGGTCTAACAAACAAATTTATTTCTTCACAATTCTGGAACATAGAAGTCCAAGTGTAACCAAGCAGATTTGATTGCTACCGAGTCCTCTCTTCTTGGCTTGCGCACAGCTATCTTTCTGTATCTTTACATGGTCTTCACTCTGTGTCTGTGTACAAATTTTCTCTTACAAAGACACCAGTCATATTGGATTAAGGCCCATTATCTCATTTTAATCACCTCATTTTAACTATCACTTTAAAGACCTTATCCCCAAATACAGTCACATTCTGAAGTGTGGGTGATAGAATTTCAACATATAAATTGGAAAGGGGAACAAAATTCAACTCATAAGATAGAGGGTGTGAGGGAGCATCAGAGGTGCAGTTCTCAGGATTAATATTAAGGGAATTCTTGAGTACCTAAGTTTTCATGAAACAGAACAAAACCTAAGTCAATATGCCCACATCTCATCACCTTTGCCTTCTCATATTTCTTCTATGCAGGGTCTTGGATGGTGAGTTTAGAGAACACAAACCATTGGAATTATTCCATCCACTGTCTGAGGACATAAACATAAGTCCAGCATCCATTTCTTAACAGTCCGTGTCCCTAGCCAATAGCATACACTTGGCTAGACTATTAAATAAGAGCAATTCACATTCTTGTTGAAAACATAAGACACATCTGTGCACTAAGAGTTGTGTGATATAAAATGGCAGAGCATATGGTTTTTCTTCAAAGTATTTAATGAGACGGATTAGTCATGAGGATGAAGAGGTAAAAGGAAGTCAAAGAATACAGACTGGCTTAGTTGAAGAAATAACTTTCTAATAAGCAGAGTTGTCTCACTTGGAATAAATAGACCTGGAGGATGCAAGTGCACCAGCACTTACAGTGTTTAGGCAGAATCTGGACATCAACTGTTAGTAAAGAGGAATTCCTGCATTGGATGGAGTAGGGGTCCTCACTCAGCAATCTGAGTGGATAATACATCAAATTTCCAATGAGTCAGAGATAGAAATTCAGATTTTCACAGCCTTCTCTTAAGCAAATGAACATGGAAGCATCTTTGTGTCCTTCAGTGAAGGAAGTCCCCAGGAGGCCAGAGGGTCAAGACTGCCAAGTTACTGACAGGAGTGGGGCTCTGTGAGGAGATGGCACAGTTACCAGGTTCAACTCAGGGGCTACCAGAGGAAAAAGACCCACAAATCCTAAACAGACTTGGCTCTGAGTTTCAGGACAACATGTATTTTTTTCACAATACAAGGAAAGAACTAAACATGGAGTCCAGCAGCCACCTACTTCTCATCACAGCCCTGGCCCGCTACAGCATTCACTGTGCCCCACTCTTTCTCCACTTATCCCTCACTCTATTCATACATCCTTTCTCAGGAATACTCCTAAGACTCTGCCACGGATCTGCTTGGTCTTAACACCATAGATGATGGGATTGATCATGGGTGGGAAGAGAAGATAGATATTGGCAAGGAGGATGTGGACATGAGGGGCAGCATGACGGGCCATACGGTGCATGAATGAAGAAATGACTGCGGGTGTGTAGAAGGCTAAGATGGCACCTATGTGAGACACACATGTCCCAAATGCTTTGTACCGGGCCTCCTGAGAGGAGAGCTGGAGAACCGTCTGAAGGATAAAGATATAAGATAGGATGATAAAGAAGAGATCCAACACTCCAATCAACATGGCCACAGCAATGCCATAGATATTGTTGAAGCGAGTGTCCCCACATGCCAGCCTCACTACAGCCATGTGTTCACAGTAGCAGTGGGCAATCACTGGGCCTCGGCAGTAGTGGAAGCCTCTCAGCAGGAAGGGGAGTGGAGTCATCAGGGTCACAGCCCGGGCCACAGCAGCCATGCCAGTTTTGGTGATGAGGGACCCAGTCAGGACTGTGGTATAGTGCAGTGGCTTGCAGATGGCCACATAGCGGTCAAAGGCCATGGCCAGCAGCACTGCTGACTCCATGATGGAGAAGGAGTGAAGGAAGAACATCTGGACCAGACAGGCAAAGAAGTTGATCTCCCGATCCCTGAACCAGAATATGGCAAGCATTTTAGGCAGCGCTGTAGAAGAAAGAACTAGGTCAATTGTTGCCAGCATGGCCAGAAAGAGGTACATGGGCTCATGGAGGGCTGCCTCAGCCTGGATGATGAGAAGGAGGGTGCAGTTTCCAAGCAGGGCCAGTGTATATGCTGAGCAGAAGGGGATGGAGATCCAGATGTGCAAGTGCTCCAGGCCTGGAATCCCCATCAACAAGAAGGCAGCTGGATGTGTTGAGGTGGTATTGGAGGCTGACATGGCTCCTGGGAATTTTTCTTGTTGATCTTCAAAGGCTCCTTCACCTTTCCAGAAGCATGTCTAGGGTACCTAGGATTACAGAATCCAATCACCTGCTATGATAAGCTCCTGCTACCATTCCTAGTCCTTAAAAAAGTCCACCAGAAGTTGTCATAGACATGCAGAAGCATAATCTATGGTTCCTGCCCACAAGAAACTCACTTTTACTGATACCTAAATATATTTCAATAGACCTGATACTCCTAAATAGTTCTCATAAAGGAATGGAGAACGGGTATCGTTTTCTGTGTTCTTGGTGACAGGATTATCATACATTGTTACCATTCTACCTACCAATCAAACAAACCTCCCAATCATATGAGTAAATTTTCTGTTGAACTTTCTGGCTTAAGTGCCTATACAAGTCAAATGAACCCTGCAACTCTGGTCCCCCAGTTAATCATATAATCTGTTTAACTTTTCTGGAAGTATACTATCTGATAGCATTGCCACTTGCCCAAATGTGGCTATTTCTATTAATCAAAAATAAACAGCATTAAAAATGCATACCTCAATCACAAAAAAAAGCTAATTGTTCACTGGCTTCTAAATTTAAGTGCTCAATAGCCTCATGTGACTAGTGGCTAATTATTGGACGATTTAGGTAAAGACTATTTCTGTCCTTGCAGAAAGCTCCATTAAAGGGCACTGCTCTATAATATATCTTCCAGGTTCTTTTAACACAAACTCTGAAAATACAGCTATGCCTCCACCTTACTGAAGAGATGAAGAGCCTTCTCCTTCGGTTTTCCTTCATCTAAACCCATGTTAACTTTCCTATTCATGTGGCTCTCCCTCTGCCCATCTTCCATTTCCTTCATTTTCATCACAGAACTCTTTCATCTTTAAAAAGACTAGCATCTGGCTTCCACGCACACAGAAAAAACCTTTGTGCTTAACAACTTTTAATATCTAGCTGCTCTTGCTCATTTTTTTTCTTCTGTCAAAAGCCTTAAACACTGAAATTGCCCAATTTTTACCCAGGCACTCTTTTTGTTAGGATTTATTTAATGAGGTTCTTGTGAGAAATAGGATAATGCATATTGACAGCACAGTCAGTAAGCAAAGTAACCAAAAGTTATTGATCTTTTTTTAATATGAGAAAATTGAGTGTTGGGAAAATATTTCTAAGATACCACAGTTAATAGTGTTGATCAGCCAGGTTTGAGTTCTAGCATTATCCAAATTTAATGTTCTAAATAATCATGCATTTTTGCTTCTACCTAAGTGCCCAAAGGAAACACGTTTTGTATATCAAAATTTAAAATAAATTCATTTTTTTCATAAAGTATGGGAAAAATTTATAATCCGAAGCCTTGGCCAAAATCATGATTGTGCAAGGTCACATAGCTAGAAGATGTGACAAATGGCTTATTTCAAGTCCCTGGTTCTTCTCTGTTAATGGGTAATAACACTGCCCTACCTTTGTCTCAGGGTTGTAGGGAGAGTACTAGAATTATACACAAAATGTCTTTTGTTTATAGATCCTTATTTGTCATCTAGCTCTCTCCCTCCACAGAAAATGGATGCTTGAGGGGAAAAAAAGTTTCTATGTCGATTAACACTTTATAATCCTGTCCTCCATGATTTTATATCCTCTATTAAAATTTTAGCTCCTCTTTGCATTAAAATACCTAGGTATGTTTATATTCAGATTCAACTCCCACAAATTTCCTGTAGTATTAGCACATTTTAACCAACTTGAAAAAGCTCTAATTTCAGCCAGAAATGACTTCCATATGATGAGGCCATGGTCACATACTTGCCTTCATTCATGTTGATCTTTCAGCAGCTTTTTTCTGAATTGACCACCCTTCTTAAACTCCTTCTCTCCTCTTGGCTCCCATAATATTTATATTACCCATCAAATGAGCTGCTCCTTTCAGTCTCCTGCTTCAGCGCTACCTCAAGATGCTGAATTAATTCATGTCTCAAGGTTTAATTCTGTTCAATGCAAGTTCATGATAAAATTCAGTAAATGTATTTTGCAAATTTAGTAAAATAAAAATATAAATATTTTTGCTGAATAAGAAAAAAAATTATGAACAAAACAGATCCCTTAGAATAATTTTGCTAAAGGTTGGAGAAAGGTAATAAAAGGATACCATGAGTAAATTACATCATAATATACAAAGATTCACTGTTGTGATTTAAAAAAAAAAAAAATCGAGGATAACGAGGATACGAATTCTGTGACAGGGAGCATGGGAGGTTGAAATCTGAAATAGATCATTGCAGGCCTCACTGGAAAAGGAATTCTAAAATATTAAATGAGGTGGGGAAATACTGTTTCTATAAAAAGCAGAACCTGTAATTCCAGGCAAGTGGTATATATAGAAAAATTAGACAATGAACAAGAATAGGATGAAGGAGTGAAACAGGAAAGAAGAGAATGTGGATCCAAAGGTGCCTTGCTGAGATGGATAATGTGGTCATCACTATATCCAATTCCACATGAAGAACCATAGAGAATGATCAAAAGAATTGTCCACTCTAGACACAGAAAAGGAGAACCTTTATCCACTGGCTTCCATATCCGATAGGTCAAGGATGACCCAAGGAGTGTTGATTTCCTTGCATTTTCAGGTCCATACATGCCCCAGAACAACTGAATGAGATCCCTGAAGTGCCCATGCAATAAAGCAGAGAAATTCTGGGGTGGGATGCAGCTGAGTAAGGTGCTATCAATCTACACCTGCACTCAAGTGGTTCCCACAGCAATGGCTACAACAAAAAGGGGAGATGACAGGATAGGAGATGGCCATAAGAGATGTAGGATATAGGAGTCACCCAGTGGGAGGAACACTCTAAGAAAATGGAACAGTCAGATGAAATGCCGTAAGACATAAAAACACCTGGTATTCAAAGATCAGCAGACAACCAGCTAAGATGAAGCAAATGAGCAGGAGAATCAGAGGTTGGAGCAGCAGGGCCAGATCACACAGGGCCTCACAGGCCTTTGTGGGACTTTGCAAAGGTTCCTTATTTCTCTCAGAATCAAAGACATTGTTTTCAGCAGACAGGAGGAGACTTATACTTTTAAAGTTTTCTCTGGCATCCATGATGGAAAGCAGCACAAAGAGGGAAGGGTAGAATTGGGGAAAAGTGTCTGGAGACTATTGCAGGAATCCAGGGAAGGGAGAATGTTGGCTCATGATCAAGGTAACAGTGTATGTGGTGGGAAGTAACAGGATTGGGAACATATTTCAAAAATGTCAGTGGTATCTTTGACAGGTTAGATACAGGATGTGAGACAACAGGTAGTCAAAGATGACACCCTGATTTTTGGCATAAACATCTAATAGAAAGGAGTTGCTTCCAACTCTGATGGGGAAGGTGTGGAGGGTGGAGGTCAAGACTTCAATTTTGAACAAGGTAAGTGTGAGATCTCTATCAGAAATTCAAATGAAGATGGCGATATATATGTGGAAAATAGATTAACATCACCCAGGTAGTAAGTGTTCATAGAGAAAAGAGAACCTAGAACTGAATCTCAACATTAAGAATGGGGTAGGAGAGGAGTTGGGGCCCTTGGAGAAGTCAGCAAATAACTCTGATAGTGAACAAGTATTAACATAGGAAGATTTTTAAGGTGATGTGCTATCTTGATAGCCTATTGAATATACTTTGTTAATGAGGAGATTGTCACTAACTTATTAAGATTATACTAAGTGCTATTGATGAGTCAAAGAATTTGGAAACCAAATTGGCCTTGTTATTGGAATCACAGAGGATCAAATGCCTTGATAAAAACAATTTTACTAGAATAGAGGAAGGCAAAGTGTTACTTGACTGACTTAGAATAGATGAATGAGGAATTGAATTCTGTTAACATGGTTCATTCCTTTGAAGAGGTTGGATGTAAAGGCCAGTAAATAAATAGGACACTGACACTGGCTGAAGGGAACAGAAGAGTCAAGAGCTTGTGTTTGCCTGTCTGTGTGTTTGTAGGTATATATTTTTAAGAAGGGATAAATAACATGTTTTTTTCTGTTGAAAAATTATCTAGTAGTAGGAGAAAACTTGAAATAGGAGAAGGGAATACTGCTCCTGAAAAGATCTTGAACACTGCATCTTTATTCTTGTTGACCATTGAGACTGTAAAGATATCCTGAAATGTCAAATATAATTTATATACTTTACATTCCCGGTAAATCCAGACTAGACTAACCCCACATAACGGCCTCACAGATATGTCAAATCTGTCATGTTTGAGTCAGAAATTATAACTACTTCTCTCCTTGTGCCACCCATATCTCAGAACATAACATTGTGTCCAAGCAGTTGCTCAACCTAGAATCAAGCCATCCTGGATTCTTCCCTCTTCTTCCTGCACCATATTTAATCATCACAAAGTACCACTGGATCATCCTACAGAGTAAATCTCCAAGTTGCCTGTTACCTTTCCATCATCACCACTCTTGTTCAAACCACCAGCATCTAACATCAGCTACCTCTACAAAAGAATCTTAACAGGCATACAAAGTTCTTATTTTATTCTCTAATATCTGTTCTTCCATAAATACCCACCATATCACACAGTGAAGGGACTGAAGTTCAGGGACTGTGCCTATTCCCTTTTGCAAACCCAGCCTCTAACACACATGGTTAGAGCATTTCACCAAGTGAAGCATGATGACTAGACAGCTGAAAGACACCTCTCTGACTCCCAGAATACTACTCCCCTCATATAATACAAGCTCAGAATGTTTGGTTATCTTCTAATTTAGAATGCATCTGGGATAGAAGTTCTAAGCATCCCAACAGTAACCTCTGTTACCTGCATCAGACTAAAATTTTCTTCATGGAAAATACTATTTTAAGTATTAATATTTGTGCATTTCTTCCAGGAACAAGATTTGATTTGGTAGCAAAAAAAGCACTATGACAACAAGAACATTTTTTTCTTCAACCAGCATATCTTCAGTACCATGAACAGTGGTTGGTACATAACCTGTGGGATTAAAAAAAAAAAAAAAACAGGTATTGT